ACGACGTCCCCACGCACCCCTCGCGGACATCGTTGACATTATACGCCGGGCGATGGCTTCCGGCTGGGACCCGGTGCTCTTCGGGCACGACCTGCAGAACGCCTACCGCCAGTGGGCGGTGAAGTTCCCGGGTCATTGCGGGACGTTCCTCCCGACAGCCGCAGGCACCACGCTCTGGTTCCATTTCGCCATGTGTTTTGGGGCGGCGGCGAGCGTCTGGAACTTTAACAGGGCGGCGGACGCCGTCCAGATGCTGGCCAGGGCGTTGCTCCTGGTCCTGTTCGGCCACTTCGTCGACGACTTTAACGGCGTGGAGGACGAGTCGGCGGCCGACTCCGCCCACTTCGCCCTGGCCGACTTCTTCGCCCTGCTGGGCCTCCAGACCAAACCTTCCAAGGCTCAGCCGCCGGCCAAGGAGCATGTGGTCCAGGGCGTCTCGGTGAGGGTGGCCCCGTCGGGCGTTGCACCACGAAGATCTTACAGCAGATCGACAACGCCCTTGAGACCGACGCTATGAAGCCGGAAGTGGCGTCCAAGCTGGCCGGGCGGCTCACATTCTTCAGCCAGTCGGTCTTCGGCTGCACTGGACGGGCGGCCATTAAGCCGCTCTATGCCAGGGCGGCCGACACGGCGGCCAACTCCGACGACTCCCTTTCGGTTGGGCTACGGTCTGCCTTGTTGGCCCTTCGCCGCCTGGTGTCGACAGCCCAGCCACGGATTATCCCGTGGCCGGGGGCGGTCACAGGACCCGTCCCTGTCTTGTACGCAGACGCCTTCTTCTTGGAGGGCGACCTGCGCAAGAAGGTGGGCCACCTTCAGCCGGGCGACTTGGTGCCCCGGTCGGCCAGGTGGGAGAATGGCTGGGGTTTCGTGCTCCTCTTCGAGGGCCAGGTGTTCTACGATTTCGGCGTCGTCAAGCCCGAGTACCTCAAGCCTTTCGCGTCCCGCCGGGCATTCATTTACGTGCTCGAGATCTTGGCGCAGGTGCTCCCGATCATCACCTTCGCCAGGCGACTTCCCCAACACTGGATCGCCTTCATCGACAATGTCGCCGGGCAATTCGCCCTCATGAAGGGCTATGGGCGGGACCCCGCCGTGAACGGCATCCTCGCCTCTTTCTGGGGCCTGGCGGCCGACAGGGCTTGGTGCCCCGAGTTTTACCGGGTCCCCTCCGCAGCCAATGTTTCCGACGCCGTCTCCCGGGGCGACGACTCCCGAGCGGTCCGTGAAGGATGGTGCCGAGTTCGGGCACCGGTCGACGACGTCATGGTGATCCTCGGGCGGGCGGCGTCCGACATCGACTACGCCTGCCACGAGGCTCCTGAGAGGCTGCTAGATCTTGCTTCTTGGTAGTTAGTGCCGGCACCTTGTTGGGGGGTGGGTGCGCCGGGCGGACGCAGAAGTGCGCACCCCGGCACCGGCACCGGTTTTCGGGGCGGTGTGCTCGGCCGGGCGCATTACATGCGACTCGACCATCCAAAAGGAGCCACTGCACCCTAAGTAGGATTTTGGGCGACAAACTCGTTAGCGCAGCGCTTGTTGTGTAGCGCACGCGTGCGAGTAGGAACAAGTGCTAGCGATCGAACCGCAGCTTGCTGGTTCGATCGCCTTTTCTGAGTTCCCGCCCACTCCACCCTTTGTGATTTCTCGACTTATATACGGCCGTCACCCGCCCCACCGGGCGGTTGTCCGGAGGGGACGCAGAAGTGCGCACCCCGGCACCGGCACCGGTTTTCGGGGCGGTGTGCTCGGCCGGGCGCATTACATGCGACTCGACCATCCAAAAAAGGAGCCACTGCACCCTAAGTAGGATTTTGGGCTAACTCGTTAGCGCAGCGCTTGTTGGCTTTCGCCGGCAGACCAGGGCCTCATCCTGGTTGGCAGCCGGTACTCGCTCGGCTTTGAGGAGATCTCCGAGTCAATGCACATGCAGTGTTCCGTGCGGAGCACCCGGTTTGCAGCCCTGGCACTGAGGGCGGCAAGGGACACCAAGGCAAAGCGCAGCCCGGCAATGTGTACAAAGCTAACCAGGTCGAGGACACCACCTTGGATGAGATCCCCGAGCAGGCGGACGAGGACGAGAATGACGACCAGGATGGAGAAGAGCCCGGCGCCGACTACGGCGACGACCTCGACCCGGATGACCAGATCAACGAAGCGCTGGACGTGCTGACCGTGACCGCCAAGAAGCTGAGTGGGCTGCGCCTTGGTTCGGAAGTTCTCAGGTGGACCCGGCAAACCAAAGCCCGATGTTGCCATTCAGAAGAAGAGCTCTCATTGTGCCATTTGCGGGCAAGCTGGGCACTGGAAGGGGACCCGGAATGCCCGGGCACAGCGCCGGCGCCTTCTCGCGCAACCTTCTTCGACGCCGGCAGGACCTTTGAGCTCACGGACCAGCCGGGCAGCTCCTCTCAGTTTGGCTCGGCGTTCCAGGTGAATGTGGTTTTCGGGGTCCAGGCCAGCGGGATGCAGGAGGCAAGCTTCTCTGGGCTTATGATTTGGACGGTGTGCCAAAGCACATGTTGTGGGCTTCGCTGGCTCCGTGATTACGCGGGCCTTCTTGACAACAAAGGGTTGTGCTCCCACATCTGCCCCCAGCGAGATGTTTTCCAGTTCGGTTCCGGGCGGCCCGTGAAGGCAACCCACCGGGCTGATTTGCCCACTGGGATTGGAGGCACAGACTTCCTTTTTCCTTATCGGCACCGGGGCGCTCGAGCTAGAAATTCCTCTTCTCGCTTCGAATAGGTTGCTTGATGAGTTAGGGATGGTACTTGACTTGCCGAATAACCTTGTGACCTTTGTCGTCCTCTCCATGGCAGTTCCTTTGCTTAGAGTCGGCGGCCGCCTGACTGTCAGCGTCACTGAGTTCGGCAGTGGAGTCCCTGAAGCAGGCACCGGCGCCCAAGAAGGCTAACAAGCCCAAGGCGCCCAAGGCGATGAAGAAGGGAAGTCCCAAGAAGCGTTGCCGAGTGCAGGCTGAGGCTGCAGCCGAGGATCAGATCCATGCAGTGCATGTAGTTCAACATGTGCACGGATCCGTTCAAGCATGAGCTGGGAAAAACATCAAGAACAACATGCTCTGCTTCCATGCAAGTTGTCATTGTTGTTTGATGCAAGGGCACATATATAGTTTTGTGAGATGTGCGTATATATCTATCTATCTATCTATCTATCTATCTATCTATATATATATGTATATATATAAATAAATAAATAAATATATATATATATATATAAATAAATATAAATATATTTATATATAATCAAAGACGTGCGTACGTATTCACAGACATCTGAAAGCATCAGAGAGAGAGAGAGAGAGAGAGAGAGAGAGAGAGAGAGAGAGAGAGAGAGAGAGAGAGAGAGAGAGAGAGAGAGAGAGAGAGAGAGAGAGAGAGGAGAGAGGAGAGAGAGAGAGAGAGAGAGAGAGAGAGAGAGAGAGAGAGAGAGAGAGAGAGAGAGAGAGAGAGAGAGAGAGAGAGAGAGAGAGGGGAGAGAGAGGGAGAGGCGAGAGACGAGAGAGAGAAAGAGAGAAAGAGAGAGAGAAAGATAGAGAGAAAGAGAGAAAGAGAGAGAGAGAGAGAGAGAGAGAGAGAGAGAGAGAGAGAGAGAGAGAGAGAGAGAGAGAGAGAGAGAGAGAGAGAGAGAGGGAGAGAGAGAGAGCGAGCGAGCCATTTTGGTCATTATTGCTTGTCTTGTTCGAATCCTGCTTCTTGAAGTAAAAGCATACTCCTCAGGAACACATCGCTGATGTCAGATGCAGTTTACCCCTGGCAATGGAGATCATATTAAGGATCTGGTATGTTGACTAGGTCTGCTTGTTACTTTTGCAAAACCGGGGGAAAACATGCAAAAATCAAACATGCAAATTTCACGCCCTTCCAAAGCCCCACGAACATCGGGGGGGCCTACAAGGCCGAGGGGTTTCGAAACCCCCTCATGCCCCGGGAAGAAGAGCCATTTTGGCTCAAGTACTGCACCTTTGCTTGGGGGTCTGTTCCACCCCCTTGCATCGGGGGGGAGGCGCGGGGCTTGAGTCACACGCCGAAGCCGCAGGCTGAAGTGGCCCACTCGTTTCCCTAAACCCTCTGTGCCGCCATCTTTGGGTGAGGGACGGCGTCTATTACAAGTTCGTGACTATCGGGGAGATCGTGAGTGCATTCTTCACCTACGCGCTGCTGAGCAGGGGTTGTCCCCAGCCGATGGCGAAAAGGAGGCACAAATCCTCGCATAATACGAAGCCTGCTTCCTCCTCGACTGGGCCCGTGGACAAGCGCAGACCCCAGGCCGATGATACTCCAAGCCAGGGGGCCATCCCTCAACAAGTTGAAATGGTGGAGAGCCTTGCGGTGCCCACCAGAACAGCACCGAGGTTCGGCGAGCTTGGCCTCCGTCTTCGTTTCGGGGACATCCCCGAAGCAGACTACAACTGGAGTGCGCGTGACGTGCGCTACGACCCCAACCATGGCAGCTACTACGAGAAGAAGGAGGGGAAAAATACCCCCTTACGGAAAAGGAGTGGCGTGCCTACGAGACCTTCCAAGACTACGAGAACAAAGAAAAGGCGACCACCAAGGACGGGGAACATCTCCTTCGCCTCACTCTGGAGAATAAGCCCGAAGTCGCAGCACAACTCCGTGAGCACATAGAGAACGAGCCGGAGAAGATCCGTCCTCTACTCGACAAAGCTCTGACCAAGTGGAGGTTTGGTACCCAAGAAGATGCCGAAACACGACAAGCCCTGGATGATATTCTACTTGCTTCGGCGGACGAGCCTGCCGCTCGCCTGACCACCCCGGCTTCGACCTCAACTTCGAGCTCAGCGAGAGGGAGCAACCTGGACAAGCCAAAGTTGCGGACAACGCCGAGGACAACACGCACCGACACGACGGGGAATCCCGCGTCCGTCCAGCACTTCAGCCCCCAAACCACTGTCTACAACTACGCTGGAGCCTCAGACTTTGCCGCAAGGATCCTTCCGGGGGATTTCGCCTTATCAGGCTGGTGCTGCTCGGGCTGTACCACAAACACAGATACAGCCTCACAGATGGGGGAATGCCGCACCTCGCCTCGAAACTGACTACCTGGAGAATCGGGGTCCACCCCCGCCAAGCCCGGGCAACGAGCTGATGGAGGACCAACCGCCTGTGACCGTCAGCCGACCCAATCTACATCCCACGGTTGACATCTTCGAAGATGACGAGGAACAGATTTTCGCTTCAGCCAACAGTACACCAAGCATGCCAGAAGGTGCACAAGCCGGGGAAACCCCCGCTGGAGATGCAGCTCCTTCCGGGGATGTTGCCCCTCCCTCGCCGCTTGGACCACCATCTTCACTGACCGAAGCGCAGAAACGACGGCTTCAAAATCTTCTACAGCAGAGAGATGAACATGGGCGAGCGCCTTACAACTTGGACGACTACACGAACGCACGACAAGTGGAAGGCATACCGGGCCGCCTCCAAGAAGGAATACCGAGACTACCGCCGCGACCAGCGCAGCAAAAATCAGTGGGGGCCTGACTCTGGCACAAAGCGTGAACGAGGATGGAAGTCGAACAAGAACAAAAGCCGATGAGCCCGGAGGTGTACAGTCGAGAGCCGCTTTGGTAGTTTAAGGGATTTTCCCTTGTATATCAGTCCGATGATGAATGGGGGCGTCCCCGTAAAAAGGTCGGCTTACAGGGTTTCTTGCTTCCTTGTTTCGTTGGGGTTCCGTTCTATCTGATCGAGCGGGGGGAAGCCCCAATGAACCTCTGCAGACCTTATGACTAGGAGGAAGCATCCCTCTTCTTTTCCATTTCTAATTCGTCCGAGATGCTGTCGTCATGACTTCAACGTCAATTTGCGGGGACGTCCCCATGATGTGCCTGCCTTGCCTCCAACTGCGTACTTGTATTTCAGAGGTGGGGTGCCCACAAGGCCCCTGCCGCTCCTAGATCCTTTCAACTTTCGCCTATGCCACACGCTAGGCTGTACCATATGACGGGCCGCTGAGCCGACCACCATGCCGATCCCAGCTTTCAATGAGCTCCCTGTAACTATGTAGACACTTCCCAAAAGGGCTGTTGCCCTCCTTCTCAGGACGGTTGCACTTGTCTCAGTTGGCGGGGGACCCCCTTCGTCCTCGCTGTCTTTCAGAATATCGGGGACTCCCGCCAATGAGAGCTTTTTCTCCAGCCGCGTCGATGGCCTCTCACTGCAGTCGGCCCCTTGGCACCCGCAACAGTCGGGGGGCGCACTAGCGCGCGGTGAGGGGGGAAACCCCGTCACCCTAACCCCGGCGAAAGAGAGAGAGAGAGAGAGAGAGAGAGAGAGAGAGAGAGACAGAGAGGGAGAGAGAGAGAGAGAGAGAGAGAGAGAGAGAGAGCGAGAGAGAGAGAGAGAGAGAGAGAGAGAGAGAGAGAGAGAGCGAGAGAGAGAGAGAGAGAGAGAGAGAGAGAGAGACCAAAAGGGACAACAGTGGACAGTGGCATGTCGTTGCACCTGCAGGCTCATGGTGTCATGGCATGCAAGCAAGCATGGGAGGCCATGGGGGGCCACGGCATGCATGCACAGACATTCAGGCATCCAGCCATGCAGGCATCCAGCCACACTTTGAGGCACCCAGCCAACATGCTGGCCTGAACTTGGCTGCATGCCTTCTCCCTGAACCCGATTTGGAGCCATGAAGACAGGGGCAGGTCAAAGGACCCCAGGAGGCCAGGAACTTTTCGCGGCATCAAGATTCTAGGTATTCAGCCCCTCGCTGCAGGATGCCGTGATGAAGTCCATCTGGGCGCTCGGGCTTGATGCCTCGGACATGGTTCACAAGCCAAGCCGAGGCCGGTCCTTATCATATGGAGGCTTTCAAATGATTTAAGATTCTGTTCCCTCTTCATGCTATAAGGTCGAAAGAATCGGTGGCGATGGAAGAACCAGAAAGGCACCTTCCTCAAGTGGGGGAGTGCCGATGGGTGGACCATGGCTGCTGAAGGCACATGACCAGCATCTCATGCGTGTATAATGTACAACCGCCAGGAGAGCATGCACGAGGACCGGAACATCATGGAGCCCACGTCCGAAGGCCTCAATCCTTTTTTCTTGTGAGCTTTAAACAGATATATAAATAAAAGTGTATGCATATATATATATATATATATATATATATATATATATGTCTGTCCCACATATACTATTTCTATCCGTATCTATATACAATTATATATATGTATACATATGTATATCGCCCAGTATACATATATATATATATATATATATATATATATATCTATGCATGCCCTTATAGGGTTTAGGGGGTTCAGTTATCTAGATATGTATATGACAGTTTACACAATAGGTATATAATCCAGAATACTTGCATGGAGGCTGGCAGCACTGGGACGGCAAAGTGTGGCTTGATCGTCGTGGATGCCAGCACGGTGGCAGACAGCAGACTCAGTGATAATTGCTCGGAGGGTTTAGGGGAGCTTGGTTTTATAAGGATATATATATATATATATATACATAGATATAGGGTTTATAGGGTTTTTCTAGGGTTGAGGGTTGAGGGTTTACGGTTTATGCAAAAAGAGACAATATAGTATATATATATATATGTATGTTACTATACAGGCTTTGTTTTAGGGTTTGGTTTGGTCTTGTTCTCTGCTGCCTGCATTTAGGGTGGGTCGAAGCCCGTGGGCGATGAAGGCAGCTTTGGGTTTGGGTGCACGGTGCATGCAGCTCATCTATAGAATGTGGAAGCCCTTGTGTGCTCCCGTGCTTCTTTTCATATATAGTATCATCATTCACATGCAGGTGGACGAGATGGCAGAGGCAGAGCAGGCCGCCATGTGCTCGTTTTCATTGGTCCCTAACATGGCTCTTTGGCGAGGGCTTCTTCGATCCATGGCAGGATGAGCTGCCGGAGGCCATGGTGATTCAGTAATTGAAGACACATAGTGAAGTCATTGCTTGCACAGGGCCACGGCGCTGCAGAGCATGGTGACAATGCGGTGGGGGACTCGTCTGCTGTGCGTGATACATACATACATACACATATGTGGTTTGTATTATACTTGTATAGGGGTTTTATGCAGGGTGTCGAAAGTGTATAAGATTCGGGGTATATACGTGCATGTATATAGGTACATACATGCATACGTACGTACCTACATATATATATATATACATACAAGACACACATGCTGAGCAGGGCATTCTTGCTCGCTGGCAGGTCGTGTGCATGGTCATGATGCAACATTCCGTGTTGTATATAGTTGATATATATATATATATATGTATATGTATATATATATATATGACACACATTCATCCTGCGGCTTGCGCTCTTTCATTGCATCCTGAGGCTGGCTTCTGCTTGCAAGAGGCAGAGGAGACTCGGAGTGCAGCTTGCGTGCAGCTGTTTGTTGAAATATGAGGCACATTGTGCAGGAGGAGGAAGTCGGAGGACGTTGCCTTCACGGAGGACGTTGCCGTGGAGGCGGCAGCAGCCTGGGCTTTTTCTTTGCCCATGCCGCTGTGTTTGCATCCGCATAACAGATAAGGTGGTTCCGGTGCCGAAGAAGGAGCATCGTGTCCAGATCTGAGATGCATTTGTCAGGCAGCATCTAAATATATGTAGCCATGCTGCCGAGGGTGTTGCGCCAGAGCCTGCTGGCCCCTTGCCGAAGAAGGCACGAGTGGAGACTTTTTCGCAGCATAAGCCGTGACATAAGCCGTTTGTTGTTGGTGTGTCCGACAGGACACACGTCTCCAGCTGCAGAACGTGGCGCCGGGAACTTAGATGTGTCTTTCTTTCCGTGGATTGAAACATAATCTTGAAATTCAGAAGAGCTGCACCTGCCCAAGCCCTCCGCGAGTGCTGGTGCCGGGGACTTGGTTCGCTCAGCAGGGCCTGTGGTTCGCGGGCAGACCAGCATGTGTCCGGTCTTGCCAGGTCAAAGCCGTGTGGGCTGGCGGCAAGCGTGGAGCCCGCCCGAAGGGGGTGCAGCTCCGTGGGTTCCTGGACGACACAGGAGCCCTGTGGCCTCCAGGTGCGGGGAGGCAGCATCGGGGTCCGTGTGCAGATGTCGTGGCTGGGTGCCTGTGTGTGTGTGTGTGTGTGTGTGTGTGTGTGTGTGTGTGCGCTTTCTCGACTGCAGGACCCGCTCGAGAGGGGGGCAGCGAGAGCAGCTCGCAAAAGCTGCGGTGCCTGCGATCGAAGGCATGACGACCCTCGCCGCTACATTGTTGACTTTATAAGTGTCTCGCGGCAGGGAGGTGCTGCACGCCTTCATGGGGAAAGGTCCAGGCCATGCAATCCCGAGGCCAGGCTTTACTTTACTCAGTGAAGCAGAACCACATGACCCGCGTGATCAGGTGAACCTTGGCTTTCGGCATTGCCCGTGTGGAGGCAGGGGGCACCATGTGTGCAAGAAGCGATCTATATGGTGCTTCGCGGGCTCGGGGACACACTTTCATCGATTGATATGGTTCCGGTGGTTCGGAGGCACAGCCCCATATCGATTGATATGGTGGGTTGGGTGCCTCGACTCCTAGCCGGGCCCTGAAATAGAGCTGTAGTAGTCCTGTACGCTATGTGTATTTCAATACATCTCTCTGTACATAAGTATACTGACACATGTATGTGCTTCTACTTAACTTAGATGGAAACGGCCCTGGCTTGGAGTGCTGTGGCTTCTCTATGTATGTGTACATACATACATATGGCAGCGGGTCAAAACCATCTGGTTTGTAACAACGCCGGGGCGCCCCTCGCGCGACAAAGTTTGTATCAAAGATAGTTTTTTTACGACAAGGCTGGCGCGATAAGGTTTTTCTGATATAGCATTGCCGCGCGACAAAGGTTTGTAACAAAGCCGGCCCGACAAAGGTTTGTAACAGAGGGGGGGGCCCGCGACAACACGGGTAACACGGGGTATTGACCCATTCCCATATATATATATATATACATATATATATATGTACATATACATGTATTATAGTGGGTATTTCATCCCGGCTTGGGTGCTCTGGGTGTGGGTCTGCAGGGTACTCTGTGCGAGATCATACAAATGATATATAGCTGGCTTCTGTGTATACAAACATACATATTATCTTTCTGTCTATGTATCTCTATATCTATGGGTGTGGGCATATCTATCTTCCCTGTATATGTATGTATGTATGTATGTATATATATATATATATATATGGTACCCCCCCCCAAAGATCTATGTTTTTTCTCTCTGATCAGCTCTTTTTGCATGCCAACATCTCCTCACGACCACTATTCCACTCCCATGTTTCGGATCATCTCAGCAGCGCCGCACGAACCGACCACATTGAAACCCAATGCGGCCCAATATGTCAATATGACCTCGGGGAGGTCCGTATTGAAATATTGGGCCACATTGAGTTTCAATATGGCGGATCCAAGATCCAAGATCCAAGATTGCACGGGACTCTTGGGGAGGAATCTTGGATCATGGATCTTGGATCTGCTATGTTGAAATTCAATATGACCTCACCGTGCAATC